TGTATGTGTGTGTGTGTGTGTGTATGTGTGTGTGTGTGTGTGTGTGTAAGACTGTAATTAGAAATATATAATGCCATAGGATTGTGAGCTTTAGACTTCTGGTGAACACCACATAGGGCCTATGTCTTTTGGCATCTTTTGGGTTAGTACAGTAGAATGTTTTTAGTCTTCAACAAAGCTTGCCTCTGTAATGTTCATATAATGTTCAGAATCATTGTGGCTTAGATAAGTGATTCTCTAATGGTTTTGCTTCAGGACCCAAAACTATTTATTGCACAAAATAAAATTTCAGTAGTTTCATGCAATAATAGGCTACAAACACAAAATACATTGTAGTTGTATTTGCTGTGGTCTGGATCGCATTTCCTTTCACCTTGCACGGTTATTCATGGTTTGTGATGATGAGGGCATCTGCCTGTCTAGATTCTACCAAGTGACAGATGAATTTGCATTAAAATACTGTAGATTTTGATTTGCGGTCAAAAACAAAAAGGCATTGGAAGGTTTTCCTCGTTCCTTTTGAGAGTTGGTAAGCTTATTAATTGTGCTTTATTCAGTTTATTTGCATTTTATTATTTGCTTGTTTTTCGTCTCACTTTTAGACCTGTGACCTATCCTTGGGTCACAACCCACCACTCTGGAACCACAGGTTTAGATAGTGACTCAGTGATTATTTTATATTGCAGGCAGTTTTTTTCTGTGAAATGAAAAAGACGAGCACAGGTTAGCAGAAATTAGAGCAAGAGGGATACAGGTTTAAACCCATCAGAGTGAATTCAAGATGGGCATACAAGCAGATGGGATGTACAGTCTGAGAAGGGCATAGGGTCGACTCTCGACTTAGTGGCAAAGCTGTGGGCATTGCTTGTAGCTGTGTTTTTAAAAGTCTACTTATGAAAGCAGATTGTTTGGTCAAATCAAACCCTTAAGACCATATTGCTGCAGTTTTTGCTTAGTCTTTGTCCAGAGTGCTACAGGCAGTGGGAGCAGACACCAAATGGTCTAAAAATTGTTATCATTATGTGTGTCTGGGGATGGGAAGGGTGAGTTACTTAGGTTCCTGAAAGGACAGATTGTCCTCTTTTGTCCTGCTAGCGCTTTCCTTTCTAGTTGAACAGCTCTCACATTGGAGAGGAATAGAGAGGGTCAAATCTGCCCAGACACGTGAAGGTCTTCTCAGTATATGATGAGGCAGAATTGCTCTTGGAATTCATTTTATTACTCTGAAATTTCTATTTGCATTTATTTATTGCTATTTTAAAAGGAGGTCAGCCAGATACGTATGCAATCCCAAAGGTGTAAGCAAATGTTGCATTTTTACAGCACTCTAGTTTAAAAAACAGAAAGAAAGAAAAAGGAAAATAAAGGAAACAAACGGCTCCTCTTGTCTCCATCCAGTTGTATTTACTGGGAACTGCTGTGAAAACACTTGCTGTGGTTTGGTGGATTAACAGAGAGCCCCCTAATGGAGTAATTACAGAGAACCAAACATCTATTTTTCACCCATGCACCACCATTACTCTCAGTTTCTCCAGCCACTCCATTGGAAGTCACTTACACTCCTTACAATGAGTTATCATTGACTGCCATTTAGGCGTTATAGAGCAATTTGTCTTACTGGGGCCATGGGCTGGCCTCATTGCAGTGAACAATCATTCTCTCTCCAATATATCAAACATTCATGGGGAAAAAGGGAAGAAAATAGCCCACAAACAGATAGCAGTGAGCAGCTAATAGATACTTCCAAGGAGGAAGACAAGAAAAATTATTGTTAAAGATTAATGAGGCAGGGACATGGCTGCTCTCTGCGGCTGGGATGAAGAGGAAACACTGCCATACAGATAGCCCCCCTCTCAGGAAGTCACGACCTGTCTGTCCTGTGGGCCACGCTGGGGTGACCATGGATACAGGCGGTAGTGTTCAGCGCTTTTAAATATCATACTGGGAAATCTTATAGCTGATTCATATCATTTATTGTCAGATAATGCATCTGAATTCAACTAAGGGCTTGATAAAGTAAACCCTAAGCACCAAATCAGACTTTCTTTGTACGATAGCATCCTTTACAGTGAGGACTTATTAAACATGTATTTATAAATATTTATTTTTATATCTATATGTATATACAGAATCCGTCTTGCTTATGTATGTAAGGAAATGTCTGATTGCAGTTACTGAATGCTGCATATATTTTGACAAACAAGCTACATTGGTAAATCCTGCTGATTTGTGAAATAAGTGCCCTAAAAACATAATGTATACATGCAATGTATTTCTGAAATATGAAATGAATAGATACATTTGGACATGTTCATTTTTTTCATGTCCTTGGTTCCAAAATAGGCTTTTCATATGCTGTATGCTTCAAGTAAACAAGATGTGATTATCTAGTGATGTCATTATATAAGTCCTAATTTTGAATGGGTGCTAACCTTGGTAATTTTTTGGAGATTGAGATGACCCTTTGTCCTTTTTTCAAGCCTCACTACTGGCAACTATAGAAAAGCAACAGAGCCGTACACAAAGCAATCTGGGCATCCTCTTCCCCCACTAAATGTGTTCCCGATGAAGGGTTAATAGTGTACTTAACTTTGTGTTTTGTTAGATTACTCTTTCTTTCAGCCTAACACAATGACAAATAACCATTATTCTTTTTCCTTCACTGATAATCGGGACAACTTCAACATTTTTTTACCAGCCCAAGTTAGACCATTAATCCTGGACGATTTTGCCGATAAGTGTTGACTGCCAAGTAATGGCCATGTCACTGAGGAAAAGAAAAAATATGTGAACAATTAAAAATAGACAGCTATTATCTAGAGTATCCTCACTTCCCATTCACATATCATTGGTGTTATTCAGAATGATCTTCACACAAACTACAAGTACAAGTATGGAATCAATTACTCATTTAAAACAATGGGATCGTTTTAGGATATATGGGGGTATGATATTACGCAATCTGATCTGGAGTACACAGTTTTGTAACCTAAATTAATTAATTATTATAATTAATTACTATAATTGTACTCTGCCTGATTTATTTGTCCATTATATACACTTACAGACTTATGTAACAAAATATGTAACAAAATAACATAAATCAAATTGTCTAAGAGATTGAAGTGCTTTTAAAAATGTAAATAGTCAAATTAATATTAATATGTGTAATCACATACACTTTCAAGCTTAGGTTTATTCTAACAGAAGCATAACCTTAATTGTCCTTTGTGCAGAATGTAAATATTTTCGTGTGGAAAAGGTGACTTCTGATTTAAACAATTACAGTGATTGAAATTTGTTTTCTTATAAAAAACAAATACTGTATTGTTCTGTGTAATCAGCTGTTGTTGGTGCAGCACTTTTTTATGTCCTTCAGTGATCTTTCTGTCAATTATGAGTTAAAAATATTATTTTTGTTCACTTAGTTGCTCAATGACAATTAAAGGCTGGATGAAAATTAAAAATGAAATAAATTAGTTTGCTCCGATTGTGACATTCTGATAATTCAATTAAAATACAAATTACTAATTTAATCCAGTATTTTAAAATATTATTATTAATAACAATAGACTGTTTACCAATAATATGAGGAGCAATTTACTATAACATATTATATCATTTAAAGATTAGGAGTGCACCATTAAAGACAGAATACTTCTTAATGTAAGTTACTAATAAATAATAAAGTATATGAACTCTTTTAAGATGCACAATTAAGAGCCAGTGCATTATGCAAGCAACGCAACTTCTCTTCTCTTCTCTTCTCTTCTCTTCTCTTCTCTTCTCTTCTCTTCTCTTCTCTTCAATGCCATAAAAATGCCCCCGACCCAAATGTACCACCGAAATAAGCTCATTATGTAAACACTATTGAGCATTCCGTGGCTTCAACATACCAAACACAGCAAATGCGGGCTGAGTCGCAGTTCTTAGCATTTGATATTCTGCATCATTGTGGCCTGAAACTCTATTTAGATCAAAGAGATTGAGAAGCCCAAGTTTCAAATCCTTCCCAAAGCCCATTCTGACTACTCTTTATTTAGCTCATTGGCATTCTGACCCCATGCCTCAGAGACTTTGAACCCTCAAAGTTTGGAAAGCTGAATTGCTCCTTTAAACACATTATCAGTGGGCCAGATTAAAGAATATCACTAAGCATCTTAAGGTTTTAGTGCAGTGTGGCGGCATGGACCGGGCCTCCGGAGCCACTTACTGCCATATACTGTATTAGGAATGGCTGAAAAAACACACCAGAGGGGTTGGTGGGAAAAAAGCCTCACGGTCATGGTAAATTAAGTTTGGGTTAAATGAAATAGAATAGGAGGAATGATCTAGAAAAAAAGGAGTAAAGGTTAAAGGGAGACTGATTGCTGTGTTTATTGTTATTGCGGATTTCGCCGAATTCCACTGTCTCCGGTCATTACAGAGCACATGTTGTGGATTTACAATATAGCATTTTATTTCCGGGATTGAGCGGTAAACGCAATATTATCTATCCTAGAATGCCTAGAGTCTGTAGTCGCCGTACATTCACGTCCAGATTTTCAGCGTACTATCAGTTTCAGACAAAGCGCCATCTGCGAGGTGCATTCAGTC